CACACACACACACACACACACACACACACACACACACACACACTTACTCCACTATGCCCCTCGCCCATGATGCCGTTTGGCGATTGTACGGCTGCATACTGTTTTGTGCCTCGTTACTTGCACGAACTCAAGGACTTGTCTGCCGACTGCACCTCTTCCTTCTCCCACGGCCTGCACACTGCACCTCGTTCTCCCTACGGCTCCCCTCTCTCTTCCTTCTCGAGGTACGCTATTTGCACTGTTGCCTTCTCTCCTCCTTTTTGCTTTCTCCTCACAGCTAACGAAACGTGTGTCGTATTCTGGACACCAGCAACGGAAAAACTGATGTGTATATTTTCAGAAAAAAAGAAAAAATGAAGATGGAAAAACGAAAAGTCTTTCATTTATTGTTGCGAGCATACGAAATCCAACCCCTTCATTCTGGCTCGCCTCTCCATGGCCATAAAATCGGGGGCCCCTCTTCACTGCCATCATTCGGGGCACGTTTTTCACTTCTAAATCCACTTCAGGCATCCCTGGAATACAACACATCCCCCCCCAACCGAAAGCTGGGTTGTATACATTCACGATTTTCCTCGGTTTGGCACAACATTCGCGAAATCGTTACTGAAACACATTTTCAAACTAAAACCGTGACAGCGCCCTTGTTTTCCCAAAAAAGGGGAAAAAAATAATAATAATAATTAAAAAAATCCCATGAACCAGTGCAGCAGTAGGAGCCCCCTTTTTTCTCCGGAACTTGCGGCGGTCGTCTGCCAGAGAAAAACAGATTCAAGCAGACCTTTTTGGTGCGCACTCTCCTTTTATGTGTTTGGAAGGGATTTTTTTTTTTTCCCGGGGCGGCTATGCTCAAAACAGATTCAAACAGACTCTTTTTTTTGTTTTTTTCTCACCTCCTTTTATGTCAACAATGATCGTCTCTCATTTGATTTCTGTTTCTTTTTTTTTTAATCCTTTTTTCTTTTCTTTTTTAAACATCACCCAGCAGCTCCTCATTTGATATCGTAGTTTCTATGCGCACTAAAGAGATACAGACTCAAAGAGACGTACAGACTCAAACAGTCCCAAAACAGGATCGGACAGAATCAATCAAGCTCAAGAACTCAGCTGGAACAGACTCCAACAGACCTGATACAGGCCCTGTAAAGGATCACAACCAGCAGCCATGGAGGGGAAAAAAAAAAAAAAACAGATCGCCCGTT